ATGTCCTTGGGCTTGCCACTCACCATCTGGTTATCTCAGGTGTTAACTTACCTGAGTATCTCTCACATCATCTTGCCTCCTTGGAGGCAGGTAGAACTCTTTGACATGGGTTAGAGCTAGCCTTCTGGAGGCAGGCAGTGCTTTCGTTGGCTAGGGGTGCTTCATGTGTCTTTTGTTAGGGCAGGACTCCAGTGTCCCTGTTTAGAGCAACCCTGCTGTGTGTGTCCTTTGTTAGGGAAGATTGCCTGTGTTCCTGGTAAGCATGAACCTCCTTTGAGACAGACAGGCTTTGAGTTCCAGAGGCAGAATCTTCTTCATTTGCAGGTGGAGGTGCAGACTCAAATTTCTGTGTCCCTCTTTATTGAAAATTTCCTGTGTCACTGGTAATGGCATACCTTCTTTGATAGAGGCAAGCTTTGGGGTCAGGGAGGGAATAGGGCCTGCCAATTTGGCCCATGTGGAGAAGCAGATCAGAAAGAAGATATAGTTCCAGCACAGGGGCTAGGTCCTGTGTCTGCTAGGCTCTATGTTTTACTATTATAATGACTTCTACTTACCTATTTATTTTCTTCTGGAAACTGCTACATTATAATTTTATTTTTCAACTGTTAGAATGTAGGAGTTGTTTGTATTGAGTATTAATACTAGTAATTAAAATTGCATCATAAATGATAGAATTACAGGGTGATTTTCTCTGAGAAAAACATGAATTTGATAGAAAATTGAGAATTGGAATCAAAAGTTTAATGAGTTACAAGAAAGTAGTGAATGCATACTGGGTATACACCTAATTTCTTTGTGCTGCACTTATTCTGATAGTGCCAGATGTTTTTCTGAATCTGTTCCTGTTTCACTAAAGAAACCCTTATATTGGTTGGTATAGCATCTCAGCTTACTTCTTACTAGAAATATCATGCAGACTCAAGGTTCCTTTAATATGAACATGTAGGCTTTACACCTCTTAAAATTGTACACTAGTGTTGGGCTATCTATATTCCAAAGTCATGGTCACTGTTGAAAATTTCAGAAGCTATCATGTAGCTGCAAGATGTCACACATTAATGTTACTAAGTGAAACCTAAAATTAACAACAGCAAAATGCTGCCATGTCATACCCTTACCTAATATAGTTTTAAATCTTTCTTACACACAAAAATGAAAACCCATCACTGTGACCCTTAGTTTTTTATCAGAAAGCTATGAGCAAATGTCAGTGTCCTGTTTAGTTAGCTGTCCTCACTATAGCTTCATACCTCAAAACATAGCAAGAACCTTTCACATATTACTCACAGTGCCCTCATTTTTAAAGTAAAAACCAAAGTCAAACTACAAATATTTATCATGTAAATCATTTTAAGTGCACAGTTCAGAAATGAGAAACATGATCCCACTGTTCTGCAGGTGATCTCAAGAGCATTTCATGATAGATACAAAACATTTTTCCCATAATCAAAGATTCATCACCTTCTCCTTATATCTCTGTCAATCATTTCTTTACTGTCCTTTAAATTTTTATTAGAGGATTCATTTATTTTGAGGAAAAACATATGAATCTAGGATAGCATATTTGTTTGAAGCTTAGAAGATAAAGGTTTTGGAGCTGATTTTCTCCTTTATCATGTGGGACATTTGTTGGACTCTGGACATTGGGCTTTGTAGAAAGTACATATTACATAATATACATTATGTTACATATAATATAATTCCAATATACATATACACCATGTTCCCCTCATGCAATTCTTTGTTGATGGACATGTTGAACGACTGCTTTTCCACTGTTTTGAGTGATTTTGTTGTGAAAGTGACTGATGAGAAAGCTTTCAAGACCTTGATTTTAATTATTTTTTTAAATCATACTAAGAAGTGAAATTGGTAGATGAAATAGCAATTCCTCTTTCATATGAAAAAGTACATATCACATGTATAGACATATATATCATAAGAACTTCTTTCAGAAATATATTTATACTTGACTTTCAGAGATTTATTTATAATCAAAACAAAATTAATAATGCATAAGAAATACCTTGGAAAATGCATTGCTTTAGGAATAAAGTTATTACACTTTAAAATGTACTCTATAAAGCAAAGAGAAATATACATTTATATCATGTCCTTCAAGCAAAAATTTCAGGACATAAACAAGACAATTTTAATCAAGTTTTTCTATGCACAAATGACAGTATAGCCACTATATCACCAAGATATAAAGATTTCAAATTTCATTACTCTAAAACATGACATACTGGTCTAAAATTCATATAGAAAGAAGAGATTGTAGCTTCATGGCAGAGTACTCATCTTCTATTCGTAAGTCTCTGGGTTTAATTCCCAGTTCTTCAAATATAAGAAAATTTCCATACAAGACACATAACACAAGAATTACCAGGGGAATTTAATTTAGTTTTATTTTAAATATAAAGTATAAGTTGTAAGATATTATATTGACTACAAGAATTGTCATGTTCAATGTAAAAAAAAAGTCCTCAAAACAACTATACTTGGGTATTAGATTTTAAAAATTAATTACTATACAAAATGTTGGATTTCATGACATTTTTAAAAACTTTAGTTTGTTTCTCTTCTAGGTTTCCTCTCAAATTCCCTCAACCTCAAGCACTTCTCTTTATCCTTTATAATCCTATTCATTTTTTGGCATATATACTGTATTTACTACCATAGCCTTCGTTCCTCAATATCTACTTTGTCTGAATATTTTGAACTCTTCTCTGCTTTTATAGTCTGTAATGGCAGTAATCCACATACATTCATATGGACATGTCCCTGTTCTACAAACTACTTGAGTTGTTTTTCTTAATTTTTCACCTTGCTGAATTTCTTTCCAATCTGTCTCCTTACTGAATATTTCATGATTATATTTTCCATTATGGATGAACAAAATTCCACTGTAAATTTTCATTATCTGCTGATGAACATCGTGTGGTCCATCAGAATGGACATCATATCTTTAATATTGTGAAAAATAAGCAGCTTACATGGATGTGCATGCCTGCTATGGTAGGAGATAGAGTCCTTTGGGTATATGCCTAAAACATATATAGCTGTGTTATGTAGTAATTCCATTTTTAATTTCTTGAAGAATGTTTATATTCACTTCTATAATAAATGTATTACATTGTCCTCCCACCAGTATAGAATGATGACTACTGATCACCACAACATCTTCAGCACTTGTTATTGACTATTCTCTT